AGTATTGGTATGAGTATTGGTATGATTATTGGTATGAATATTGGTATGAATATTAGTATCGGTATTAGTATTGGTATAAGTATTAATAATAATATTAGTATCAGTATCGGTATCGGTATCGGTATCAGTATCAATATGTGTATGTGTATCAGTATGTGTATTAATATTCGTATCAAATTAATATCAGTATCAGTATCAATCAGTGTTCTAAAAATCGGCCGAGGCGGCCGATTAACCGGTCGCCGAGGCGGAGGCGGTCCAAAACCTTTACGATTTTAGTGTAAAGGTTTGAAAAATCGGTTTTTTGCCTGTGAGGCGGTTTGAGGCGGTCCGAGGCGGTCCGAGGCGGTCAAACCTTTAAGGCGGGTCAAACTTCGGTGGCAAAAATCAGCAAAAAACCGCGCAAAAATCGGTTTTTTTTTTTTTTTTTTTTTTTTTTTTTTAATTTTTATAAATCAAAATAAAAGTTGGGATTTTAATAAAAAAAAAATGAGTTTATGCTTTATTTTGTTTATGTTAATTATTATTGTTAAAGAACTAATGATGTATGCCAAGAATGTATGTAAATTCAAAAAAAATTGCCTTTTTATTTATATTTTATAAGGATATTTATGTATTATGATCTTATTATTATTAAACTTTTATTAGGTTATTAGAATATATACATGATCGAGATATAACTATGTTTAAATTTTTTTTATCTATGTTTTGAGTATTTATAAATAATATCTATAAATATATTATATTAAATTTTAAAAATCGATTTATTTCCGATTTATCACCGATTAATCACCGCCGCACCGATTAATCGTGAGTCGGTGCCTGACCGACTCGGACCCGATTACCGATTTTTACAACCTTGGTATCAATACCAATATCAATATTATTATCATTATTAGTATTATTATTAGTATTCAAATTCATATTAGTCTTGGCCTATTAGCATTAACATTAGCATTAGCATTAGTATTAGTATTAGTTTTCTTATTAGTATTGGCTTATTAGTTTAAACATTAAATATTCATATTAGAAGTGGCGTATTATTATTAATATTAGTGTTGATATTAATATTAGTATTAGACTATTAGTATTAATCATCGTATTAATATTAAAATTAGTATTAATATTAGTATTATTAGTGTTGATTTTAGTATTAATATTAGTATTGGTATTAGTATTATCAATGTTGGTTTTAGTATTAGTAGTAGTAGTTGTTAGTGGAATATTAGTGTTAATATTAGGGTGGATAGGCAATTGTACGCCGCAATGTCCAGAGATAAAAGTAGATTTGAGATAAAAAATAATTATCAACTCAGAATCGGGCGATATAACTAAAATTACGAGCAATGTTGTGTGACAAAAGATTTTCAGCGAATATGAAGGTAAATCACAAACAAATGAATATTTTGTATTATTTACATGTATGTCAACTGTTCAAAGTTTTCGTTCGTTTTATTTTATCCAAAATATTTTTTTTGAAAAAATTGATCTCGTGCATCGCACGGGTGAATTACTAGTTATATTATTATTATTAAATCTTTTATTTTTGAATATATTAAATTAAACATGGATTATGAAAATTTGAAGAGGCGATTAAAATTGACTTTTGGAGATTCAACCCAATAAAATAAAATCAATTTTGCTACACTAATTTCAATTTTTTATTTTTTTTTATTGGAATCGGAATTTGAATAGGATTCCGTCCCGATTCGATTTTAAAATTTCGTTTTTCGGGTTTTTTATTTATTTATTATTTTGATTTTTGTAACAAAAATATAGAATTTATGTTTCAAAAATAGTAATTCTAGTTGGATTTGACCGGTCTCCAACCATGATTATTTATGCACACCTAAAATTGTTAATTGTAATGGATAAAAAGGCAACTTATTTCAAGATATATTCCAAACTCTTGATGTTGACTTTGAAGAAATTCCATTACCTTAATAAAACACACGATCGATAATTCAGTCGGGCCTAACTAAGACTCCATGGTCCGTCTTGATTAGGTTTAAGTCGATCTTAATTTTAGTGAGTCGAACTGTGTTCGAGCTGTTTTATTAAACATGATTAATTTATGAGTTAACCTGAGTTAATAATTAAATGAATAATATATTTGTTATTTAAATGATATGGCCCAATTTTTTTTTTTTTATTAATATTTTTTTTCCAATTTACTGGCTTACTGTCAACTTGGCGATTTAAATTAAAAAAAAAAAAAAAAAATTTGTTTGTTTCCATGTGATGTTCATAAATGTGCAAACAAAAAATAACAATTAAATTTAGTGGTAGTGGGCTACTTAATTATAACTCATTTATGATTTATGAATGAATGCCGACCTTACAATATATACAGTATGGTTTCACTATTAAATGATCAAATTAAATTTTTATTTTACTATTAAAATTTTGTTGAGCCGTAAATATGATAATGAGTTTTTCTCTTAGTTTTTTTTTTTTTTTTTTTTTGAGGAACAGTTTTTCTCTTAGTTTAATATGACAAAAACAAAAAATATACCTATTTGGACTAACAATTAATTAGACTATCTATATTATACGATTGGGCTAATGAATATTTTATTGAAGAATTTGGGGTCTAGGCCCCATTTGGCTAATCTTATTTTAAACAGTTGATAAAGTCTTCCAAAGTGTTTGGTAATTTTTTAAAAAAAAACCTTAATATTTTTAAAAATAAGCTGTTGGAAAGGAAATAAGATCTTTTTAAATAAGTACCTCTACCCCACATTTTTATTTAAGATCTTATAATGAGTAAAAATAGGAAATAAGCTCATTATCCAAACACTCTAAAAATTAATCATAAAAATAAGATGTAATAGCTTATCAGCTCTTAAAATATTTTATCAGACGTAAGAGCTTATCAACGGTTTAAAATAAGCTTAGCCAAACACCCTCTTAGTAAGTGTTCGAATAATAAACTTAAAAGCTATTTTTGATAATTATAAGATCTTGTGGCAATTATAAAAATACTTTTGAAAGAAAAATCTTATTTGCTTTTCAACAACTTATTTAAAATAAAAAATGAAAATCTTTTCTGAAAATTTTATCATAAATGTTATAAGCTCATTTTAACAGCTTATAAACTTAGCCAAACACCCTCTAAACTTGTAGAAAATCTTGTAGTCTAACTATATAAATAAAATATATATATCAAATATTCTTAATTGTTTAGAATGGAATCATTAGTAAATAATGATGTAGTGTAGTGACATGAAAGCATGTCTTAGGGGTGTCAGCTTAAATTAATAATCATGTAGTGTAGTGACATGATCCTTAAATGCCATATGTTTTCGATTTTAGATGGGATCTTATTACTTAGTTTTATTTAATTACATTAATTATTATCATTATTATTACCTTTTGATGGGATACAAATACATTATTAATTTATTACTAAAATTATAAATTTTAGAAATTATTTTTAAAGTGTATGAAAAATATAGGATCATATAGATAATATTTTTTACAGTTAAAAATATATTTTGAGATGTTAAAAAAATAAAATCAAAACAGTGTTTGAGATCTAATATTAAAAAAAAACATTTTATAATTTAATATTTTAATATAATGTGACATATTGCAAATTAAAGAAATTTTGGAGCTATCTTGTTAGCTTCTTGCAATTATTATAGCGTATTATATTGCCCTACACGTGATGCCATGCACGTTATATTCTTTCATGCGTCTTGATTTGACTTTTTGTTGTTAGAATTTAAAGAAAAGAATATTTTTTTTATTAGTAAGTTAATTTAATTTAATTATTATTTTCCTATAATTTATTGCTAAGATTTTTTCAAAATATTTATTAGCATATTATACTTTGCCTAAAAATACTTTATACATCATAACTTAACGAGTATTGAACAGTCCATTTATCGGGTTTAATGAATTTAAAGTTTTACATGTATGGATTGTCTCGAGTTATACTTTAGAGTCTTGCACTTGGAATTTTTCTCACGTATAGACATGTTATTTTTTGAAATCTTGCACGTGAAATTTTAATCGCATACACGCAAACGAGTTTTATATATTTTGAATCATTGCATATGTAATTTTTTTTTGGTGAGTTTTCATTTGATCTTGCTATATATATATATATATATATATATATATATATATATATATATATATATAGATATATATATATAATAATGAATTATACACATGTAGATGTACTATTCCAAAGAAAGGGATACACCTTTTCATAAGTAGACAAAATACGAAATGTTTAGTATTGTAATTAAATATACATAAGAAAAAAAAAAGAATAAGAGAAAACAGACAAACGTGAGAATCTTTTGTATAGTCAACCACAAAAATAATAAAAACAAAAAAAGTATAATAAAAAAATAAAAAAAATCTGTCGACCACTCAAAACCAATTTACTATTATATAAATACCTTTTTGTAGTTCAACTAATCACTTTGTCGTATGTATTAATATATTCGATTATTCAGTCTGATTTTTGTAGAGAAATTATAATAGTAAATTTAATTAAATCAAAAAAAAAAAAGCCGTAGTTCGGAATTGGAAAATTCCCTTCCATTTGTAACACTCATAACTTACTGTAGCACGAACACGGGAACGCGGACACGGGAAATGAGGAAACTCCATTTTTCAAAATATTGAATACGGAAACGTGAGAGAAATGTGTAGATATTAAAAATATAGGGGTGCATCAATAATTTCTAAAAAATCATAATTTTAAATTTAAAAATCATGTAAGTTTTAATGAGTAACCAAATTGCCCTTACCCAAAGTTGGCGTTTTACATGCTTATATACAAAGCCCAATATTATTGGATCCATACACTTTGTATTGTATATATATACTTTACTCTAATGGGCCGTTGTGAGAAGGGTAAAAGTGTCAATTCACATATACCAAAACAAAAAGCGTTGTTTGTGAAAATGCGACTTCAACGAGAATTGTAGTGATTATTTTAAAATTGATTTTCTTTTTTCCGTTGTGAATTATAATCCAAGATGATGATACAGCTTCGTCTTCAGCAGAAGCTGCGGTTTCCGCCGGTGGTCAAATCCCATGGCGGCGCTGATTCCTTCAAGCTAATGCCCACGGTTGTTGCTGCATCGCCTCCTCCTCCGTCCAAATTCAGCAGCCTTTCTTTTAAATCATCGGCAAAACCCCACGCTTCTAGGTTGCTGCTCTGCAGGATGAACCGCGATTCAGGTCAGTTGTAGCTTCCTCTTCGATTTATTCGTGTTTACGCCTCTGAAATTAGATAATTTTGTTTTTCTATTGTCTTGATTTGGGATTTCAGCAGTTCTCGATTGTTTTTTGTGTGGGGAATTTTCACAAACACTTAGTGTGCATTATCCAGTTTCGAGGGAAGAAAACTTGTCTTTTTTTCTTCTCTTTTTTTGAATTAATTGGGACTTCAGCAGCTCGGATTCTGCTCGGGAATTTCTATACACTACTTCAATTTCCTGAATTTTGTCTTTAGCAAGGGAATCGGCTTAATTTATGCCTTTTTATGATGATTTCATTTTTAGGGATTTCGTAATTCTATGCAAACAACAAACTTATACTTAACCAAAATGCACGAATTTCAATTTCCATAAAATTTTGAACCAATGTTTCACTTAGACATGATATCACAGCTGGAAATCGGAAAGGCCAACGAGAAAAGGGGATCGCATAAGCAAGTCAACGGCATATTCTGGATTCTACTCATTAACCTTGGCATATATTTGGCGGATCACGTTTTCAAGGTCTCACATCATTCCCTTGTTACAAATTCTTACCTTCCAGTGGACAGAAATGTAGCAAAATTCGGTCTTGAACTGTGAAACGAAATTAATCGATACAGTTATTTTACTTTTCTAAATTTAACAAGAAAATTCCTCCGTTTTCCAGGTTTCTTGGATTAAGACACTGTATCTGTACCATAGCCAGCCTGTTTGGTACCAGTTCATAACTGCAACGTTTTGTCATGCGAGCTGGTAAGTCAACTATTTCTCTAATATGAATACGCTCGGAATTTGGTGTAACGCTGATAATCTAAATTGATTTATAGGAGCCATCTATCGAGCAATCTGTTTTTCTTGTATATTTTTGGTGAGACTTTTTTTTGTGCAGTTATTTCTCACGACTTTTGTATACAGGGAAATTGGTTGTTTTCTTGATTGTGAATATTATTGTTTAACCAGGAAAACTTGTTGAAGAAGAAGAAGGAAACTTCGCCTTGTGGATTTTCTATATATTAACCGGTGTAGGGGCAAACCTTGTTTCGTGGTTAGTTTTACCGAGAAATGTGGTTTCTATAGGTGCATCCGGTGCCGTTTTTGGACTCTTTGCAGTCAGTGTTCTCGTGAAGGTGTGTTGTGTTGACTATTATTATTAGGTCGATTTTTTTTTTGGTCAATTTTGTAGAGGTGCTGAAACTCGTGTATATCGATAATAATAGAATAGCATTTCGACTTTGTTGTGGCTGCAGATGTCCTGGGATTGGAGGAAGATACTCGAAGTTCTTATATTGGGTCAGTTTGTCGTAGAAAAGGTAATATCATATTTCGACTTCTTAACTACGACGAAAATCCTTTTATTTTTTCTTCGTTTTTTTTAATTTTTTTTTTCTCGTTTCCCGCTAATGAACCGATGAATTAGGTGATGGAAGCAGCGCAAGCATCAGCAAATATAGGAGGAGGTTACGCGATGCAGAATGTAAATCACATAGCACATCTCTCAGGTGCACTTATCGGTGTTTTCTTGATATGGCTTCTGAGTAGTGTTCCTTCATCTACTGATGATAATAAATAATAACATTTGTATTTAACATTATTGTTTCGTTTCCGTACACCATTTATGCATCGGAAACGTATTCGCCGTTTTTGCGTATTTATAATTATAACATTCGTGTAGGGGTTCTACTTCATTTCATTTTGCAATGTGAGAAGGGAAAAAATAAATCGGCAAAATTATATATATTTTATGAATTTTTTAAAAGTAGATATATTTTTGACATTTTAGAGATGGGAGTAATAAAATACTAAATAAATTAAATAAGGTGAAAATATGGAAATACTGCAAAGAAAAGATAAAAAAAAAAAAAAAGATAATTCATTTTATTATTAAAAAATATGGGCTTATTCAGATATGATAAAGCATCACCAAACACTGGGCTTTATTAATTACCTTCGCGGCCCAAAAGTCGGATTATATTATTTCTTCTAGCCCACCAACAGTTTCAATAAATTAGAAATTGGCCCCCAAACTTTCAATAAATCACAAAGCCATCTCATCATCACTAAAAATTAATCAAAGGACCAGATTGTAAGAATAAATCTCATATTTTAACACAGATGAAAGTCTGGCTTTGACTTATCATCTCAACCGTCCATTTTAGTTGCAGAGCCGTACGTACGTCCATCCTAATTGCATGCATATATGTTGGAAATAAAGACAAAAAAAAAAAAAAGATCAAATCAGGTGATTTGGTTGACAATAGAATTACTGCATACCGAGTACAGAGTGCAGACAAAACACACACACCAATTGTATATTCTTCAGTGGCATTCTTGTTATTTACCAGAACATGGGGGGCGATCATAGATGAAGATCGGGTCGCCGTTTATAATTAAGAGCCCGAAATATGATGGGTCGGGTTAGGGCAACAATTATATATCCTCTTCTTCTCTGTATGTATATATATAAGAGATATATTAATCGGCATTTAATTTCCTGATCGATCAGATGTTGAGAATTATTGGTTTTGTTGTGGTGGCAGAAGCGTTTCAGCAATTGGAAGTGCATTTAATTCTGAACTCGCGCCGTGAAAATTCAGCCGGCCGGTAGCTGTGGGTTCCCATGGTTTCCCTTCTTCGTACGTTTATCGGTGGGAGTAGTGATGCTGCCTCCCATTTTCGCACTCGGGTCGGGTCGTGACCCGGTTGATCATCTTCTTAGAGTTTGCCTGCTGTGTATTTCTCTTCGTCTTTTCCTTGTTTGCTTCTTACTATTTGTCTTGCTAGCCAGTTGCTACACAGCTAATCCATCGATCGATCATGTTTTTTTTTTTAATTATTAAATTGAAATATATTTATTTAATTAATTGCAAGTTTTGTTTGTCAAGTGTTTTGAACTTCCTAAAAATATATTAATGAATTTTGATAATTAAATTTGGTAATTAGTGATAATTAGTTTTTAATATTAATATCTTCAATATAGGGCTTGTTTGTTTTACTCTTTTCCCATAATATTAAGTTTCAATCTCTTGAAAACTTGATTAATAATAACATGAGTTAGAGCTAATTAAGCTAGCTGTAAATCCGGATAATTAACTACTCTCGATCGACACAAAAACCGATTGTGAAAAGCTCATTTGAAAATGTGGAACGAACGTCTTGTTTTGTTAAAATAACAAACCAAACTTGTAAATATATATTCCCGTTCGTTCGAACGACAAATATCATCTAAACTTATTCGAGTTTTGATGTAATGATGTGTGTTCTACACTTAAAACTTGATTAAAATTTAAAACCATTTCTAGCTCAACTCAAATGGTAATTACTAATTAATCAAATCATTTATTATAATTTTCAAAGTTCAAATACAACTGATCTCAAATAATTAATGATTTTTAAGAACAATTTATAGTAAAAAAATAAATATAAATTACATCAATTTATAGTAAACACAAAAATAAGATACAAGGCCTGGTCAAGATGGAGTCCAAGAACCGAAAGGCGTGCTCTCGGTTGCATCCGATCCAAGCTCTTTCTATTCATCGCGTCCGTCGAAACCCGATTATTAAATCGCAGAGAATCTGCATTCTCCAACCATCGGCATTTTAGCTACTTAATTTATGGAGAAAGAGTGGCAAAAAATAATTCAAGAACTACGAAAAACCAGCCACTTTCATTTCATTAACCACCGCATTTAATTTCTCCGAAAGCCCTGCCCTTCGATATCCAGCGCCCAATAACTCGTAAATCGATCTCGTAAGCTCGTATGAATCTCGTATACATTCCAGAAACAAATCCAGCCTATCATAAGCCTCTGCCCTAAAATACGAACAAATCACCTTTTCAACATCCTCTTCGCAGCCAAACGAGATTCCACCCTTCAGCATTCTTCCCATAGAGGGGTCGACATCGTTCAATCTATCCACCTCAGCATATAATCTTATCACCGAGCAGTGAACCAGCGAAAGAACTTCCGAAGTTTGACCAGACTCGGTCAAAGTCAACACTAACTCTTCCAGCTCATCCACCAATCCCAGCCCGCCGTACAAATCCACAACCTTTTTAACCGTATTCCGATCAATCTTTAACCTATAATTCACCACAAGCTTCAAAATGTCTTTGACCCTAATCGGATTTCGTTGCTGACAATACATAGCGATCATGTTTTCAATTATCGACTCGTTAGGCATTAGTCCCGATAATATCATTTCATCAAAGTACTTTCGAGCATCGTGGTATTTTTTCGATTTGATACAGCATTGTACGAGAAAACCATAGGTTTGAGCATCGACCGAAAATCCCAATTCCTTTTTAGCCGTCAACCAAGATTCAGTTGCGTTTTTATTCCCCAAATTTGCATATGCCGAAATGAACGCATTGTAGGTGTCCGAATCGGGTTTGTAGCTGCCTATTGAAGAAGCCTCCATTGTTTCGAATAAGCTTAATGCTGTGAGTAAATTACCCGAAGATAAGCTTGTGTGTATAAGTTCGTTGAAGATCGTCGATGTAGGTTTAATTCCCCGAGCCTCCATCGAAGAAAATACACGGAATGCAATTCGGAGATTTCGAATGTTCTTGCATAAAGATATCAATTGAGCGTAACGATCGTGATTTTTCGACTCGTGTTCGGTTAGTTTATCTAATTTCCATTCGATAACCTGGCTAAAAACAAGAATCGGATATTGTTCATGATTGCAGAAAAAATGCATATGGTGAATCTGATTAGGTACACATGAATTTATTCTAAAATTAAACAAAACACAGAAATAACTAAAAAAAATTATATAGAAGATCAATTTGATTACCAAATTAGCTTTATGGGGAGCGGAGGAATTGAGAGAAGAGAGAAGAGCAGCCGACGGAAACTCGGCCGAGTCGGAGGTGAACTCAGAGTCTAGGGTTGCCCCTATTTTCGAAAGCGGCGCCTTTAGCAGCTTCTGGAGCAGAGGAATATCAGTCGACGAGGTGGTGAACAAGAGCCGTGCCAATCGGCGGCCGCTTTCGGTTATTAGAGAACGGTTTTCCGGTCGAAAAATCGGTCGCGAAATTCTGCTGCTTGCTGCCGCCATTGATTTGGTTCGATTTTTGCTCAGTTTCCGGCCTTCCTTCTTCTGGCTATTAAGTTTTAGGGAAAATTGCACTTCATTCCCTACAAATATGCCATTTTTGCTTTTCCTCCCTCAAAACACAAAAACGATCGAGATTGCCCCCTCTGAAATATACAGCTCGGTACACTTTGCCTCAAATGCATATTTCCAATTTAATTCTTGTCGGATTGAAGTAAATTGGAAGGGTAATTTTTTCTTCTAAGGCTTTAAATGTCATTTAGTCTTTTCTCATCCTACATTAAAATGTTTATGAAGAACAAAGAACAAATTTTGTCGAATTTGGAAAAAAATTTCGTATAATTGGGAAGAGAATTTTGTTAGTTCGGGAGACCCTAAGTAACTCTAAAAGGAGGATTTTCAAGCGGAAAAATAAAATGACACACACACCCTTAATCCAGTGAGAATTAGACCGGAAGTACACATTTAGGGCAAAATGCGCCGAATTGTATATGTATATTTCGAACTCATTTTTTGTATTTGGAGGGGAGAAAGTGAAACAAAAGCATTTTTAAGGGGGCGAAGTGCAATTTGGCCAAAGTAATTTTTTTTCCAATTAAAGTCGTCGTTGCAACATAGCGCCTTTGGGTTGTTTTTCTCAGTTTGGGCTAAATAGCTAATTCACATACCGAAGTGGGGTGTTGTTGATATAAACCAAACCTCGGAGGGCCTGTAATTGCAAATTAAGCCAAAACAATCCAGTCGCAAAATAATCCCCTCTGCCCTTTCACTGAAAATCCCAATTACACACACAACACACACACACACACACAGCGGAAGAAGAAGAAGAAGAAATGTTTCTAACGAACAAATTGCCAAGATTCCATTCACACTTTCTAATCGCACCTCTCACATCTCCAAAACCCCAACAAAGATTCTTCCTAATCACCTCAACCCTCTTATCCAAAACCAAACCCGAACCCGAATCCTCGCCCCTAGCAGTACCCCTCTCCCACTTCTCCACCCCCACCACCACCTCCGCCGCCGTGGTTCGGTCGCCAGGCGGCCAGGAGCAAGGAAGCTTGCTGCTTTCTCCAGAAAACCTCTTCTTCCCACCAGAAACAGACGTCTCGTCGATTAAGAAGGCGCCGCTGAGCGCGAGAATACTGAAGGGGTCGAACATTGTGGTGGGGAAGTACGCCGGCGGCACCGTCGACGTGGTGAATGCTGATTTTGTTAAGAGCAGCGTGACGACTGAGGACTGCCCCTCCGATGGGATACCGGAGTTCGCCCTCGTCGGCCGGTCCAATGTCGGCAAATCGTCGCTTCTTAACTCGCTCGTTAGGCGCAAGAAACTCGCTCTTACTTCCAAAAAGCCCGGTATTCAACACAACTATGTGTGTGTGTGTGTGTGTGTGTGTGTGTGTGTGTTGTTGTTGTTGAAGAGTTGTAAATAGGTCGAATCTTTGTCATTTTTCAATTTTCAGTGAATTTTATTATCTTGTCAAAGTCGAGTTTTAAGGGTTCGGAGGTATTAGTAATCTCGTCGTTTCTCGGAACTGATAAATGGTTTATATAATTTTGGAGTAATTCGAAGGAGCTTGGCTCTGAAACGAGACGATATAAGGAACAAAAATGTATTGGAGTTGAAGTTAGATTACGAATATGCTAATTGCAGAGTAGTTCTTACTTCTTAGCCGAGTACGAAGGATTAAAAATTGTGGGGAGGGCATATTCTAGATTAATTTGAATACCATCAAAACTAGTTTTGAGTTCGGGGATTGATCGACACATATTCGGGATTTCGACTAGGCTTGGCTTGTGATAAGTTTATGTACCTCGTTCAGGATTAAATCGAACTATTCATTGTAGTTTATTTTTTTCTGTAATAAAACTAGTTCAATGGAGATTTTTTTTTTCAGGAAAAACACAATGCATCAACCATTTTCGCATCAACGACAGCTGGTACCTGGTGGATTTGCCTGGCTACGGGTATTTAACCGACTCTTCCAAAAACTCGCACTTTGTCTATGACCTAATATTATTTCTTCGAAGAAATGTAAAAAAATGTTTACTACTTAATTTATTATTGTTCATATGCGTGCCAAGTGACGACGAGAGCAATTTGTTATCCTATCAGATTATTTGTAGATGAAAAAAAATTATAAAAAAAATGTGATGATTGACACGATTAATAATTGTTTATTTTTGTTGATTAGTTATGCATCTGCGCCACACGAGGTACGAACGGACTGGGCGAAATTCACTAAAGACTACTTCATAAACCGGCCAAACCTTGTGTCTGTATTCCTTCTAATTGATGCCAGCATTCCTGCTAAAAAGATTGATCTCGAGTATGCTAGTTGGTTGGGACAAAATCAGGTTCATTTTCTACCTTAATTCTTATCCATAATAATAAAGAATAAAATCATATCCGATTCTTGAAATTTTTCATGGGTTTGATAAGATTGATTTGATTCGTTGGGACTTAGGAATGTTGATGGGAATAAACCTAGTACCATCCGTAGTCCTCGTTAGGGAATGTTGATGGGATTGACAAGTTTGATTTGATTGATTAAGATTACATTGGCCTTGAGAATGTAATATGTAATGATCCTATGTCGATAATACATACACTATATCGAACAAATATCGTTGCATTGCTTCGTGTCTTTACTCTGTAATGTTATAATGACTAGATATTCTTAACTGGTTTTTCCAGATTCCGATGACTTTGGTATTCACGAAATGTGACAAACGGAAGAAGAAAAAGAATGGAGGAAAAAGGCCCGAAGAAAACGTGCACGATTTTCAGGCATTGATACGAGATTTCTTCACTACAGCACCACCTTGGATTATGACAAGCAGTGTCACTAATCAAGGCCGTGACGAAATATTGCTGCACATGTCCCAGTTAAGGAATTACTGGCTCAAGCATTAACTCGTTTTTTCGAGACCGCCTATAAATTATTTCGTTTATCGAGATTTCTGTAATAGCAACCTTAAATTAGAGTACTAATTTACGTTTTTCAGTCGAGTTTTTTTTTTTTTTTTTTTTTTTTTTTTTTGTAATATTATTGCATTCTATTATAATACACATCTTGTGACCTTTAGCCATTTTTTTCAGGGCCATTCAAATACTGTATATTTCGACTAGTCGATAACATTTACAACGAATTACAATAAATTAACGAGCAGTAGCGAAAATCAATAATGAGATAAAACTCTACATTTTAACCAAATTCAAAAACTATAAAAATAATTAGAAATCTAGAAAAATACATTTGATTGATATCTAAAGGGATCCTTGGCCTTGTTGAGATCTTTTCAGCAGATTCTCTTCTGTTCATTTACGAACAGCTCCCGTAGATTCAAATCCGTAATTGAATTCAAATCTTTCAGTAAAATCTTATTATCTTCTCGATATTCAGCCATGGCTAATTTCTTCGACTCGTTTTGGGCTTCGACCTGTGTAGCTTTCTGCCTACACTCGTAGTCCTCTTTCAACATTTGAGCCAGTTCTCTATTTTCTTCTCTAATAGCATCAACAAGTTTCGTGCCTTCTTCGTCACTTTGCCTCGTCACTTTTGCCCCCTTTTGACTTGCGGCACCCTCGAGATTTTCTTCGTTTTCGTTTAGTGAAGATGAAGACAGTCCGGGTGATATTGATTGAGACGAAGACGGAGCTTTGTCCTCCGAGTGTGACTTTGACAGTGACGGTACATTATTACAATTTTGCCCCTCAAACTCAAAGACTGTTCCTCCTCCTCCATTTGTGTTAATCTCGTATCCGTATTTCTCGATATCTTTAAGGAGGGGCCACACGTGATCGAATCTGAACCCTTTCTTGAAATTAGCATCTTTTATTAAGAGAGATCTAGCTCGAAATAACTGCAAACATAACACAATCTTTTAACGAAACAAAATACAATCTTTTATCAGCAAACACTACAAATTATAATTATTATTATACTACTCACAATTTCTTGTTCGGAAGCGTCAACAAGATTAAGATCCTCCACTTGCTGAATGCATCCCTTCAGTTTGTCAATTGCAGCGAGAATAACTCGCATCCGAGCACACAAGGATCTTATCGGTCTACGCTGAGTAATAGACTTCGGTTTTGTGCTGTGGTACTCGGTATCAATCATTGTCCATAAATGCCCCTTTGACTCTGCTCCTCTAATAGGGCAACGCGATATATCGAGATATACGTGGCACAAGTGTAAGTCTTCTTCACGCGAGTACGAAGAAGTTCGCCGGCAATTCCTCATTTTTATCAAGATTTTGGAATTACGGAAGCTCTACAACAACAAAATAGTAAAGGTTCTCACTGGTTAAGCAATGATTTTAGTGTACATTTGTTGGAATGATTCACTACATAACACCAAATTTGGCCTAAAAAGCTTAAAAATATACATACAATCACACACATACACACGTGGATGTGTGTGTGTGTGTGTACACAACTAGAATAGAATAAATTGGGGTTAACATACATGTAAGAGATCTCAAAAGAGCAAAATTTCTCATTTTCTGCTTCAAAATACACACATAACACACACACACACACCATAATTCATACAATTTCACCATTTGTTTAAAATTCAATTTTCCAAAATACGAATACCAAATCGAATCCGCCACAAAATTTACACCCTAATTTATACATAAAAATACGTACAGAAATTCACCTCTCTGTGCGTGTTTTCGTTCCTTACTTTCCCCTCTTTCTAGAATTTCACCGTTTCGCTTCCCCTGTTGAATCAATAATCATTAGAACGAAAATGGAAACTAGAGAGAGAAAAACCAGTGATGGAGAGAGAGAAACAAGAGCGGAGAAACAAAAGGGATGGCCGGAATTGCTGGTTCAGAGTGGTTGAGGCCCATTGGGCTTTATTCTAATACCGGGCTTTCTCTTTTTAGGCCCATTGGGCTTTATTTTGTAGCCGAATTGGGATTTAATGCATTATCATTTCCTATTGAACTTTCGTGTAAACAGTCTGTTGGGTACCCGTTGAACTCGATTATAATTACAAACCAATAACAAATTGAATAAATACATAAATTTATTCATAAGTAGTACAAGCATATATACTAAATGAGAAATAGAAATCGATTCGGCTCTGGCCTCCCTCCATTGACGGAGTCAATCCTCGGACCCGACCTTTTGGACCTCCGGTCAACTTTCTCGAAACCCCTCTCAAATTAATCATACGTTAGGGTATAAACTAATCCAATCGAGCCAAACATACTAGTGTTAAAGTACATTTGATTTTTTTTCAAAATTTATGTTTGAACGAACGAAATTAGTTAGAGTAACTTAAATTTTCGGTATGCATCACGTGTCGCTATACGTGTTTATTTTCGAGGATAATCACTAAGCTACAAAATATATTTGTAAATTTGGTAATGGTCCATTTTCAAAAAAAATGTGAAGGTAAAGTCCCTATCTATTTTTTCTTGCTAAGTGTAATGCAAGGAGAAAGTGATTGCTCGAATTGAAAATTTTAATGAAAGACAAAGAAGACACCCATAAAAACAAAATTATTTAAATTCAAATTGGGGAAAAAAATCCCACCAAAAAAAAAAACCAGCATCTTTGCAGGTTTTACTAAATTTTACCAGCAATACGACATAGTTTTAATTTCATACAAATATTTATTATTATTATAAAATATTATTTCAAAAAAATTCAAATGACACATTCTTGAGTACGTCATATATATAGGTGCATGCATGTGGGATTTAAATATTAATTAATATATATATATATATGTGACACACAATTATTGGAATAATTAAATAAAAGTGGGATTTGGGTTATACATAAGATGAATAAATACATAATGAAAGAAGCCAAAATGTGTGACCCAAAGTCTATAAGAGGCTAAATCACATCATATATAATAAGTCAAATATGTGGGTATTTGAAACTGAAAGACTTGTTGAAAAACACAGAAAATTAAAAAGGTCTGACAATTAAAAAGTTGTTACAAATAGGCAATATTTATTTATTATTATTATTATTAATTTTTTTTATATTTTGAGAAAGAAAAAAAAAACCAAGTAGTTTTGTTTGATAGCTTTTGGTGGGTTTTGGGGAAGAAAATAAATAAATTAAAAGTTTGAAATGCACAACGTTACAAGTTCCATGTGCATTAATAGTATTAATTTGTTAGTACATATAACAAAGTTACACACACACTAAGAACAAATATTAATTCCAATATTAATTAATTTATAAATATTCCACTTTATATTCCAATATTAATTTGTTGTATAGAATATATCACAAAAAAAGAAAAAAGAAATATACTTTAGTTAAATAACAAAGTATCTTAATTTAGTTAATTAATAGTACTTAATTAACAAGACATGTGTATATAATTTTAGGAGATGTATCGTGCACGCATGTGACATAATGACTATTTCGGACTTCCATAAGATTAATTTTCTAAATTAAAGCATAATAAATAAATAATAAATTTTATATGTTAATATATATATATATATATATTTTATTTAATTCTAGAGACATGTCACCGACTATATATGGAGCTAGTTGAAAAATACAGAAAACTATGGGTAGTGAAATAGTAATTATGTACAAATAAATTGATTGACTTCTCACAAAAGGCTTGCATGGAAAGCTGTTACGAAAAAATGTCATTTAGCTTTTGGTTTATCTATCGATCTTCAAGTTTGAAAATATATAAATATAAATATAAATAAATAAAATAAATAATTCACACAAAATTTTCTGCTACTTTCTGTTTTGGTGTTTTTGGAAGTTTCTCAGCAACTCAAGATGCCTTTTTTGTTTTTCATTTAAGGTTTTTTTCTTCTCTCTTTGTGTGTGACTGTGTGTGTTTAAATATTAGAGAGAGATATAGAGAGAGAGAGTGAGAGAGAATATTAGCCCATCATCATACTTGAGTTAGTGGGGTCGATATATATATTTGGGTAAATTACAAACACCCCCCTGAGGTATGGTCAAATTACAAAACCCCCCCTCTTGTTTGGATAATTACATCTACCCCCTCAACTATGATTTTTTCTTACACCTCCACCCTTATGGTGCCAAATTCAACATAATCATCTAGATTCCGTGAAATGTGCTCTAGTTTGTACTCGTTTTGTGTAAAAATACAGTTTCCGATGCACTACAAACTGATATATACAAGCTAAAAATCACATATTATGATCATCTCGCTTCATAATGTAGAGTTTCAATGGGATAAAACGGGTACCAAAGTGATAATATTCCATATAATCTCGAAGATCCACTAAATTTGAGGAGTTGCGGGGGTGGTTGTAATTATCCAAACAAGATGGGTGTTTTTGTAATTTGACCATACCTCAGGGGGTGTTTGTAATTTTCCCTATATATTTATATACATAATGATAATAAATTCTAGAAAAATGAACCAATAATAATAATAATAATAATAATTATTATTATTATTAAATAATTCCAATTTTAGGCTGTTTTTTGTTTTATTAATTTGTTGAATTTGAAAAGGACATAAGCTTATTGACATTCTGGTGCTGAGAGAATGCGCCGCTGCACACGGAGCTATTTTCTTTTATTTATTAATTTCCCAATATATATATATATATATATATATATATATATATATATATATATATATATATATATATATATATATATATATATATATATATACTTACCATTTATTAATATTTTTTATTGTATTTTGTAAATAAATACAAAATTTATTTATGTGGAGTACTAAATCAAGATTAGTATAAAATTTCCAAGAAAACCCTACGAGTTCTATATTGGAGTAAAAATTAAATTATAAATTGTTAACATAATTAATTTGGCAATTTGAAGTATAATTTATGGATATAGATATTTTCCAATCTATTGATAATATATATGTAATAATTGTTGAGTCACGTGACTGTAACATAGACTCATTGTAGCAACTTGTGAGCCACGATTTGGTAATGGAATGACATGTAGACTATATAAACATGTAAGCAATTTTGTTCATACGTGCAATTTTTCAATTTAAATATAATATTTGATGATGAATTTATTTATTTAAATGATGAAAATTAAGTTGAAACCATATAATTTCCCATCTAATAATTTTTTTATTCAACGGTTCAGATTTTATTCGTTTGAAATGAATGGTAATTAGAGGTGTCTAAAATGTGATACGAACACGAGTATCTCACCCTAAAGAAAATCGTATATAGTAAGTACTTTGGCACCGATCTGTAACCCGTTAATAATCCATACCCTCAATTTAATGATACGACCGCATTATATAGTAAGTAATTTCACACATTTGTCTAACAAATCAATTTTCACACCAACCGCGTAAATTAGAAATTAGATGTTACATCTGATTGTTTACATTGAATGAATTTGAAACGTAGATCTACATATAATTACACACACACACTCTGTGTGCTTAGTGGATAATTATTTAATCAAATCTACGATTTAAATCGACCCGCTGTAAATAACCAAGTGTAGCATCGAACTACCCAAATATGTATTATTTTTCAAAACACACACACACACACATGTGTATGTGTGCTTAGTGGATAGTTATTTAATCAAATATACAGTTCAAATCGACCCGCTGTAAATAACCGCGTGTAGCATCTAACTCCCCAAATATATATTATATTTCAAAATACACACACACACACACAATACACATACATATACACACACAAAACATACCTATATCTACATGACACGTAAGCAAATTTACCAAACCCTCTCCCCCCCTATATAAAACGCAGGCAAATCATCCAAAATTCTATGAGTAAAACTAAAATTATTTTGAAATGGAAAAAAATAATTTCATATTAAAAAAAGTGTCAAGCTTTTTACCTTCTTCATTCAGCTCTTGCCAGTTTCGATCGTTACCTGATGTTGCAGAAGGTTCCATTACCATCACAAAAGCAAACAAAAAAATTCTTCATGAAATTGACCACTCTTCTTTTTTGAATAAATCTCAAAAACCACCCCAAAACTCTTCGAAACCTTCCAAACAAACCCAAAAGAAGAATGATCAAGAAAAAGGTGGTGGCGCTGTGGTTTCTATTAACCACAGCTCGTCGTCTTACGGCGGATGGTTCACCAGCAGCGACGAGAAAGCCCGGCCCGATGACGTCAGCATGTCGTCAAACTCCGGCGACTCCTTCCGCCTGAAAACCAGCCGGAGATTCAGAAGATGCGAGGAGATGAAGAGCATCGACGAGACGGGGCGATGCTCCTTTTCTTCTTCATTCGCTTCGGCTGACACAGTTCTCAGCAAATGCAGCCGGAAAACAGCTCCCGCCGCCACCGCCGCCGCCAAAAAAACCACCGCCGCCGCCGCCCCAAAAAAATCAAGTAAAAAAAAACCCTTCCCAGAATATAATCTGTCCTCCGATCACATATCAACCCAGCTCTACTACAGCAAAGGCGGCGGCAGGGATTCCGGCAAGAATCTCCGGCGCCGGAAAACCACCAAGAGCCGCCGGAAAGTCAAGAAAAGTCGGGAAAAGTCGAGTTTCGAGTACGGCGGTTCGTTGGTGGGAGAGAGTTACGCGGTGGAGAAGAGCTCGAGTGATCCGCACGGAGATTTCAGGGCATCCATGGTGGAAATGATAGTGGAGAAACAGATTTTCGGTGCCGATGATTTGGAGAGGCTGCTGCTTTGCTTCTTGAATTTGAATGCGACGTCGTATCATGGGATAATATATCAAGTTTTTACTGAGATTTGTCAAACTTTGTTTGCTAATTGAACTCCCTCCCTACCTAATTTCTTTTAGGATTTGGTTTTTAATTAATTAATTAATTAATTATTATTATTATTATTATGTACATTAATGTTATTGTTCTTTTTGGTTGATTTTTTTTTTTTTTTTAAATTCAAGGAAAAAAATGTTATCAAATTGATTTTTTTTTTCTGATTTT